TCTCAAACCCCTTTGAGGTAGGGTAAGAGGCACATGCAGGAATGAAAAAATGTTCCCCGCGCTGCAAGTTTGCAGCACGGGGAGAAAATTAGACACCTGGATATCCAGGGATCAAATAAAAACTGTTCCTCAGAACAGCGGAGCAAGGCACGGTCCGTGACCATGCCTGGAGCAAGCAGGGAGTCAGTCCTCCAAAAGAGACGCTCTGGTTTTGGCCAGAGCAACCCTTTAGTGCTCCTGCTGTCCTGGCCCCCAGCGCTGTCCAAGGTAAGTGGGGGGATGGGGGGGGTTTGGGCAGTGGCAGGGGGGATATCCCCAGGACTGTGGGGGGTGAGGACCTGGCCCAGATCAGTGCAGCTTGTTTGTCTGGCTTTGTACCGGAGTGGGTTGCACAGCTCCGGGAGGTGCGCGCAGGAGCCACGCCTCCCAGAGCCCTATGACCTGCTCTGGTGCAAAGCCAAACTAGAGAGCCACATGGGGTTGGGCCAGGTCCCACCATGCACCACCTCTCCGCAGGGACAGCAGGACAGAGGTTGGACCCAGTGCGGCGTGCAGGGACCACATGCCGGATCCTGCCGGCCCTGGGGCCTCTCTGCCACCTGCTCAGGCCGGTCCCCCAGCAGCAGGACCCAGCACGGCTGGGCCCATCCAGGTCCTGGCCCAGCCATGTGCCAGGCCCAGCCAGGCCCTGCCAGCCCTGGGGATCTTCTGCCGCGTAGATGGGCTGGTCCCTTGGCAGCAAGACCCAGCATGGCACGTGGGAACCATGTGCCAGGCCCAGTTGGGTCCTGCTGGCCCTGTGGCTGCTTGTGCTGCCCAGCTGGGCCAGTCCTGAGGCACACAGTCCTGTGCACCATGGGACCAGCCTGCCTGGGAAGCACGAGCAGCCCCAGGACCGGCAGGACCTGGCTGGGCCCGGCACGTGGTCCCTAAGAGCTGTGAGCTGGCAGCAGCAGGCTCGGAGCGCCCCACTCCTGCTGCTGCTGTGAAAAATAAGTTATGGGCCCTGGGCAGGGGGGCTGTGGCCCTCCAGGGGGGAGCTGAGACCCTGGGCGGGGGGGGCTGGGGCCCTGTTTGGGGGGGCATTCAGTGGGGGGGCTGCAACCTGTGGGGGCTGGGGACCCACCTCTCCTGAGCAGCCTCTCCGCAAGGTCCCCCACACCCACAGTCCCCCCAGCAGTTGCCCCACACCTACCCACACACCATCCCACATCCCTCCACACAGTCCCACACACCTGCCTGCCTTCCCCCACATCCCTTCCCACCCTCTTCCTGCAAACACATAATTTATTTTATCATGATGGTAGAGACACTGGTAGGCTTCCAAATTGCTTTAACATTGTAAATATACCAATAAAGCACCGCCCAACTGATTGCTGTCTCTCTATCTTTCTCTGTCTCTCTCTTTCTGTAGATACATATATATGTGTGTGCGTATGTGTGTGTGTAGAGTGGTCTTTTGTTTTAATTGTGGAAGAACATGTATGTTGGGGTATTTTTAAAAATGGATTTGGGATGTTGCTGCAGCAGTCCAGCTGGCACAAGGGGTACTGTCCCCAGGTACCAATTGGCTGGGCCCCAGAAGCTCCTGAGAGCGAGTAAGTCTGAGCTGCTTGCCAGGGCAGCTTTTTGTACAGATGGGGCCAATACAGGGTGGCTTTTTATACTGCAGGAGATAGCACAGGTGCTGGCCCTGGGCTCTAGCTCCCCCTGGCTGCAGATCCAGGAGGAGCCAGGCAGGGTTATTTTGCTCCAAGTGGCACAATTTGCTCCTCAACAAAGTGCATGTCCAAGCACGTGCACTGAGGCAAAAAGCCCCAGATCAAATTTGCACCACTTCTATTTGAGCTGCTGCAAGCGCACATGCTTGCACTTGTGGATGTGCCCCATGTGGGCTTCTAAAGGAGAACTTTTAAATTAAATGTCACACCTTACTCTATGTGGATACTGACAACCCAGTGGCACTTGCTGTAAGGGCATCCAGTTTTTCCCTAATGGTCAATAGAAAACAACTCTAAAAATCAGATCAATTTATCTTAATTTCTTGACCACCTAAATACCAGTTCTCATAGTTTTTTTCACTACATTTGATGCTGATACATCAGCCAAAAATAGCCACCAAAAACTGGATATAAAATAATATTAAAAAGAGATTTGGAAAAATATATTCGCCTAATTCTACCA